CCCTTATTAAAAACTAATTATTCACGTCAAATTTAGAAGTGTTTTTAATACTTCTCCCTTATTAAAAACTAATTATTCACGTCAAATTTAGAAGTGTTTTTAATACTTCTCCCTTATTAAAAACTAATTATTCACGTCAAATTTAGAAGTGTTTTTAATACTTCTCCCTTATTAAAAACTAATTATTCACGTCAAATTTAGAAGTGTTTTTAATACTTCTCCCTTATTAAAAACTAATTATTCACGTCAAATTTAGAAGTGTTTTTAATACTTCTCCCTTATTAAAAACTAATTATTCACGTCAAATTTAGAAGTGTTTTTAATACTTCTCCCTTATTAAAAACTAATTATTCACGTCAAATTTAGAAGTGTTTTTAATACTTCTCCCTTATTAAAAACTAATTATTCACGTCAAATTTAGAAGTGTTTTTAATACTTCTCCCTTATTAAAAACTAATTATTCACGTCAAATTTAGAAGTGTTTTTAATACTTCTCCCTTAATAATATACTTTGAAAGGTTACAAAATGATTCTTTCTATATTATACAGCTAAAATACTTGGTAGAAGATTCTTTTCAAAGAAAATCTTAATTTGCTTCAATATAGGAGTTCCAATGTCCAATTGGCTGCTTAATTGCTCTACGCTTAAGAAGACTTGTTAACTAATATACACACTAATTGAAGTAACAAACAATTGATTAATGGACTAATTACAATTCAATATCTTTAAGTGATCTAATTTATAAAATAGTCAGAAAATATATAAATCTAGTGTTGTTTAAACATAAATATACATACTAAAATTATATATATAAATATGCATATCCTAATATACTAACATACATATAATATACATAAATAGTGTACATGTTTTGTATATTTAGAGTAGTCAAGTTTCCAATATATTCACACTATCAAAGGCTCAACCAAAGTTTGAATTAATTGTATTACTTATGATCTCAATATTGTAAATTTAATAGATTAACATAATATAACAATTTAGGTTCAACAAAAATTTTTAATTTAAAAATACTCCCTAAAGGACGTTACAAGGTCTTAAAATAAATTTGAATCCATGGATGTGTGTACTATATGGTTGAACTAGCTTGGAATATGCAATATTATTTTTCTAATGCATCTTCAAATTGTACTTGATTTGACTCTTCAAAATAAAATTACCTCTAACATTAATATATATATGCCACAAATTTAAGCTTCAATTGTTGACCCAACTTGGTCAACTCTCAACCTATAAGACTTGGTCACTTGTTCCCTCTAAGAATCTTCTTCATATATTTATTTTGTTTTGTTTCATTATTTCGATGAAAAAAACATAGTAGAACTTTTACCATTTCATTTCTCGATTTTCTGGAAGGAATGTTAGCTCTTCGATAGAATCAAGCTTTCCCACAACTGAAAATGGATCGAGGGATCGATTCGAGAAAGGAACTTTAAGGCGGGGAGGGGGTGAGAAAAAACTAGCTAATACATGAGCGTTAATATATAGATTTTTACCTCTTAGATATAATAAATCAACTCATATTCAGCTGAAGTTTATTACTAATTATCATGAGAGGAATTTACATAAATTTCACTAATTTATGAGCTAATTATGTAGATGCATTCTAGTTTGCAATATTACGTATCTTACCAGATTTTGGTGCATCCAGATACGTTCAGATACATGTATCTCGAATATATGGAATCAAAATTAGGTGTAATTTCTTCTGGATACATTATATTCAAGTGGATTCGCATGTATCTAGAATACATATTAAATCTCGTTCGCTTTCCTCGCATCTCTCCCATCTCACTCGGACTCTTTCATGTATCTGGCATCTCAAAAACATGTGAATCACTCCAGATACATACAAATACATGTATCTAGTGTGATTCACATGTATTTGGGATACATACGAATCTCATTCGCCTCCTCCCAAAATCTCGCCGCCTCTCTCTCTATTTTTATGTATCTGATAGCAAAAATACATGTATCTAAGTATATTTTCTTCAATATATGGTAAAAAAAAATTAATTAATAATAAGCCCTTAATAATATAATACGTAACATTTTGAAAGTATATGTATATAATAATAAAGTAGGTCTAATTATATAGTTTTTCCATATCAAAATCATTTTTTCCGAATCATGAGTGTATGGCAGCAGTCATTTATATATGTCTATATTGTATCATGGGAGAGGTGAATTATTTATTTATTTGCAATTGGTCGATTATATTTTTATTTTTTAATTTTAGTAGAGACGTGGATCTTCATGGACCTTTATAATACAACAAACATTTTAAAATATGATATTATTGTTACAAAACAAAAAAAAAATATAGAGGCATTTATTGTTCTAAAAACACTAAACATCTATCTTGAGGGATTATGGAGTAATTAATTGAAATTGGCGTGTACGTGAAGGAGTAATTAGCATCCAAATCTAAAAATACTTTTCTTAATCCATATGCATGCATGCCGTTTCTTCTAAGCTAATTATAGTTTGTTAGGTTTAGTGGGATTTG